GACTTAAATAGTAGAATCAAATGAACAAAAATAGAATCCGTTGTTCCTAAAAAGGTAGGGGCTGAATCTAGGGTTGTCAGCTCCAGGTTGGGAAATACCTAGAGATTTTGGAAGTGGAACCTGAGGAGGGCGGGGTTTGGAAAGGGGAGGGACTTCAATGGGGTATAATGCCATAGAGTCCAGCTTCCAAAGAATCCATTTACTCCAGGTGAACTGATCTCTGCCACCTGGAGATCAGTTGTGGTCTCGGGAGATCTCCGGCCACTACCTGGAGATTGACAATCCTAGCTGACTCTCTCTGCAGCAGTTGGTGGAGCAAGTCCCTAGAAATGTGTTCATTCCTTACTGTCTCCAAGTGCCTCCTTGCTAATGACATTTTTGTTGTACCTTGAAGAGTACAGAGAGTGAGTCCAGGAGAACATTCAGAGCTTAGATTACACTGAACAATTGTGAAAGCAATAAATGACCCATACCTTTAATACAAAGGTATGTTATTTTTATATGTAAAATACAGGCTGAATACAGAGGTGTGCATGGGGAGGAGGAGATCTGTTTTCAGAATGTTGCAAACTGCCCTCTTGACTTCTCCTGTGCTCCCTCACCTTTCCCCATTTTTTAAAAGCGGCATTACTGTTTCCTATAATCCAGTATACTGTTTGTTGTTTGAACGCTTTTCATTTCAGAGCACCACAGAGTGGTGTTAGTGCGTTCAAGATGATCTCTGTGTTGTCTGTCTAATGTGCCATCTATGGAAAGCACAACTTTAAAAACTCAGTGCAGCATCTAAATTGGGGGTGACAATGCAGATATATCCACAGTGCCTATATATACTTACCTGTGATCTTCTTTTTTACCTTTGCTTCTTCTCAGTTCCTCACCCACTGTGTCCCCCTGCTCTACCCACTATAGTAAAAGCTGAATATTATTCTTGGGGGGGGGGTGTCTATACACACACAGACACCCACCCATGTTTCTGGTCTTGCTGATGGATAGGAATTAAGTTCCCTAGGAGCTGTATCACTGCCACGGTGGTGTGGAGTGAGTTTGTGTGTAGGTGACCAATCATTGAGAGAGACAAAGAGCAATGGTGGCCCTGTCAGTGGAGGTCAGGGTGTCAAATGTCAGTGCCTTCTTGAGGAAAGGCACTACTCAGCAGAGTGTCCTCAGCAATGGAAGCCATTCAATGAGAGGGAAGGTTGTTTTGCAGATAGGGGTTGGGTCAATTTTCAGTGACTCCCACTAAATTATGTAGGGCTGTAATCTGGGATGCAGTTGAAAAGGGAATAAAAACTGACCTATGACTTAGAAAGTTGAATTACACCAGCTCTTTTGCTCAGTCTTGGCCAATAGCCCATCTCACATGATTTCTGTCAATGAAAGTCCTGTCCTCAGCATTGGGGACCCCCTCCTTCCCTCTTGACTTTTGTGCCAGTGGGAAAGCTGGTTGGATCGACCCCAGAGAGATTTAGCCCTCATTCCAGTGGTGTTCTACAGTGTACTCATTCACTTACCTCCATTTGTGCCCATGACTACCATTCATTCCTAATTCTCCAACCCCAGAGATAATCTTTTTCCAATGCCTTTTGGTGGCTCTTGGTGATCCTGTATGTAAACTGCCAAGTGTTTCATGATATAAGAAAGGTGGGATAAAAATGAAAATAGCCTAATAATAAATGAATAAAGTGTGTATCTGTACCATCAAGTCGGAGCTGAGTTATGGTTGCCCATTAGGGTTTTCAAGGCTAAAGAGGTGCAGAGATGGTTTGTCTTTGCCTGCTTCTGCATAGTGACCCTTGGTGGTCTCCCATCCATGTACTAACCAGGGGTGACCCTCTTAGCTTTTGAGATCTGATGAGTTCAGGCTAGCCTGGGCCATCCCAGTAGGGTTGCCAGGTCCCTCCCCTTGATTGAACTGGGACTTACCAAGAGAAAGGGAAAGACTCAGACCTCATCGCCAGCATCACACAGGAAATTACATCATCACACTGAGGTGTCACTGTGACACTCTGGTATTTGAGCAAAAACTCAGTGCAATCTTATGCAGTTATTCCAATCTAAGACCATTAAAGGCCATCCATATGTTTTAAGGAAGACAAAAGCAGTAAATTCAACAATTCTTCCTGCCCTTGCCCCCTCCCCCAGAGGTGTACTGCCTCTGCATTTGAAGGTTTTGCTATTCTGTCAAATAGCAGTTTTAGAAATATCCTCCATACATTTTTCTGATTCTTCTGTTTTAAAGCCGCCTAAGCTAGCATCGATCACTATATTCTCTTAACACAGAATTCCATAAATAAAAGTACACATTGCATAAGGAAGCATTTCCTTTTATCAATTCTAAATTGATTTTGTGTCAACTTTGTTGGCCAGACCCAAAGTTTAGTATTTTGGGAGGGGGGAGTTTCTATCCACGTTCTCTGTACCATACACAATTTTTAAATAAATTTCTCTAATGGACCTTCTCTTGCTTTTGTTCGAAACTGAAAAGCCTCCAGCTTTCCACTTAGAGACTGTGTACCATTGCTAATGTTAGTTACCTTTTTCTTTACAGTATCCCTCTTGAGATGGGGTGACATGAACTTAATAATTTATTCCAAATTTATTTATTTATAATTTAAATGTATAGACCACCCTTCCATGACTACACAGAGCTCAGGGTGGTGAACAACAATAAAAGCATTCATAAATTTGTAAACAATTCCAACAATCTAAATAAAAATATGTCTAAAACATTATCAAATGGCACTAAACGTTAGGATTCCAAATTGTGTCACTGTCTTGCAAGAAAGGTAGACAGGAGGCAGGATGGGGGGCAAGGCATGCTAGATGGGATGGTACCCGTTGCTGTCCTCAACCAAAACCTTGGCGGAACATCTCTGCCTTGCAAGCCCTGTGGAAATGCATTAGATCCCGCAGAGCGTGGATGTAACTCAGTAGGGAGTTCCACCAGATGGGAGCCAGGGCTGAGAAAACCCTGGCTCTGGTCAAGGACAGCCAAACATCTTTTGGGGTGGGGATCAGCAGTAAGTTGTTCCCTGCAGAGTATAAAGCTCTTCAGGGGACATACCAGAGAAGACAGTCTCGAAGGTATGTGGGTCCCAGACCACTCAGGACCTTAAAGGTCAGTACCAAAACCTTGAACCTGACTTGAACCTGGGGATTATTAGGAAGGGTATTGAAAACAGATCAGCCAATATCATAATGCCCCTATATAAATCAATGGTGCAACCTCATTTGGAATACTGTGTGCAGTTCTGGTCACCACACCTTAAAAAGGATATTATAGCTTTGGAAAAAGTGCAGAAAAGGGCAACTAGAATGATAAAAGGGTTGAAACACTTTCCCTATGAGGAAAAGTTAAAGCACTTAGGGCTCTTTAGCTTGGAGAAACGATGACTGAGGGGTGACATGATTGAGGTTTATAAGATTATGCATGGGATAGAGCAGGTAGAGAAAGAGGTACTTTTTTTTCTTTCTCACAATACAAGAACTCATGGGCATTCAATGAAATTGCTGGGCGGTCGGGTTAGAACGGATAAAAGGAAGTACTTCTTCACCCAAAGAGTGATTAACACATGGCATTCGCTGCCTCAGGAAGTGGTGGCGGCTACAAGCATGGATGGCTTCAAATTAGATAAGCATATGGAGCAGAGGTCCATCAGTGGCTATTAGCCACAAGGTATAAATAGCGGCTCTGGGGCAAGTGATGCTCTGTCTTCTTGGTGCTTGGGGGGGGGTCAACAGTGGGAGGGCTTCTAATGTCCTGGCCCCACTGGTGGACCTCCTGATGGTACCTGGTATTTTTGGCCACTGTGTGACAGCGTGTTGGACTGGATGGGCCTTTGGCCTGATCCAACATTGGCGTCTCTTATGTTCTTATGACTCGGTACTTCACTGGGAGCCAGTGCAGCTGATGGAGCACTGGTTGAATGTGTTCAGTCCGTAATGTTCCAGTTAGGATCTGCGCCACCGCATTCTGAACCAGCTGGAAGAATGCCAGCTTGACAACGTTCATGATCTGGGCCTCCATTGATAAGGAGGCGTCCAGAAACACACCCAAACTCCTGACAGTCAATGCTGGTATTAGGGGTGCACCATCAAGTAGGGAGTTCCCCTCCCCGCCTAGCCACAGAACCTCCATCTTAGTTGGTTTCAGTCTCAGCTGGCTCTTTTTTGCCATCCCACCACAGCCTCCAGTCCCTCAGCCAGGTTTTGTGAGGTGGCGTCCGGGTAGCTGCCCATCAGCAGATACAGTGTACTGGTGACCCCCCAGCCTAAAACTTCGCACCAGCTGCGTGAGGGGGAATATATAGATGTTAAACAACACTGGAGAGAGGATAGGCCCCTAAGGGACCCCACATATGAGGGGGTATCAAGTTGACACCCTGTCATGATCTGGGCTGTGCTACCAGAGGCCTACTAGGCTCAGGGAGCCTGGCTAGAAGTAGGTGAGGCTGGGCCTACAACTCCCAGAAGCCCCTGAGAGATTTTGGAGCCAAAATTGACCAATAGGTAAGAAGAGTGCCAGGGAACAAAAGGGCTGGTGCCAGAGCAGAAGCTGTTCTTTATTCCAGAGGGCAGAGCCAGAAGGAAGGCTGCTGCAGGAAGAAACCCATCCTAAGGGAAGGGTGAGTAGTCTAGTGTCACCTGGAATAGTGAGCTAGGGACAGTATATATTTAGGGCATTTGATTTCCTTTCTTTTCACCCACTTACTGTTGTTATTCTGTACCTTGTTGTTTGATGTCCTATAAAATAAACATTTTCCTTGTTTCACTCTGCCTGGTCCTCATGCCTGTTATTCAGCCAAAAGGGAGGTCTGAAGGTCTTGGGAGGGTGCTCTGGGCCTTCTCAAGGGAACCTAAATCCAGAGTGGTGGCAGCATCAGGTGACACTCCCTCTCTCCTAGCACTACTCTCTGTCCCCAACCTTGGAGAAACGAGGTAAGCCACCTCAAGACCACCCCACGAACTCCTATATCAATGAGGCAGTGGGTCAAGAGATCATGACTGACCATGTTGAATGCCACTGTAAGATCAAGCAGTAACAGCAGTGCTGACATGCCTCAATCCAGCTGTTTGCGGAGATTGTCCATGAGGGCTACCGGCGCTGTCTCCGTCCCATGGCCAGGGCAGAAACCAGATGGATGGCCGGGGCAGAAATGCAGCTGCAGCATAGATTTATACAATCTAGAAATCATAGCCATTGTATTTTTAACCAGTTCCTTGATAATCTCTTTCTTGGAGCATTTTTGTCACTTCTGCACCTTGAGTGGTTAGTCACTGTACAGTTGAGAGCCACTGGTGTATAAATATATATTTATATGTGTATACTGTAAGCCGCCCTGAGCCTGCCTTGGTGTGGAGGTGCGGGATATAAATTTAAAAAATAAAATAAATATAAATTAAGCTCTTTTTTTTTGTTCCTGGCCAGAATTGATTAGTTTACATTTACTAACATTAAATCTTGTTTCCTATGTTGCTGTTGCCCCTTCACTCATTCTGAAGAGATCCTTTTTGGAGCTCTTTGTAGTCCACTTTGGTTTTCACCATCCTGGATAAGTTGGTATGCGCAAGCTTGGCCACTTCTTTGTTTTTAGTTATTTATTGTCAATCCTAATACAGTTGCTCAGTACCTCTACTCTCTGCTTTCCTCCATTGTGGGAATGTACCCATATACTCCTACTTCCTCCTCATATTTAACCAGTTGCTTAATCCATGAGAGAACCTTTCTCTTATCTCATGACTTCCACATTTCAGAGGCTTTTGGTGAAGGAGAAGCTTTTTTGGAAGAATACAATGACTACTAGTAACTAGCCAGTCCTTAGCCATATGCTTGTTGACACTGTAAAAGAACTCCAGGAGGTTGGTGATGCAGGATTTCCCTTTGAAGAAATCATGTTAATTATTTCTCAAAGGACATTATATCTCTCTAATAATCCTGTTTTTTAAATAATGTTTTCTACCTAATTACCTTCCATAAATTTTATGGTGTTATATCTTGTCTAACTGAAGAGGAAAAATATATTTTATAAATTTGTTGGAATTTGGTAAAAAAACACATTTAAGAGTAGAGGAAAAAGTATGCTTATTTCATGTGAAGGTATGACTTATTCTTTAGCAGGGTGTTCAGATTTCTTTTCAGATTGTACAAGTTTGTTTCAAACATCATAATCCCAGTTCAAAATCAGACTTTAGTAAGTGACAGGATCAGTATAGATTCTGTCAACAGGATCAGTATAGATTCTGTCATCTTGGTAAATTCAGATATAAACTCATAAATACAATAAATAATGGCTTGGGAAATTTCATAGAGACAATGTTTAATTGTAATGTTCTAAAGAAAAGGCAATTGTGTAAAGCAGGAAAAAAAGATCAAATGATTAAGATTGGCAAAAATTATTTCATTGCTGTTCAGAAAACTTTCCCTTGGGATGCTTTGCAAAACAGTCCTTGAATTACTTGGCCAATTTGTTCTGTTCGTAAAAATGGTTTTCATTTACTTTTCACTAAGGGTTTTTTATCCCAATTTTTGTTCTCTTTTAGAAGAAAAGGAAAGCCGAAAGCTCCTCTCCCTCCATCTGAGAGAAAAAGTACTGAGTTTTCTTCATTTGATGATTCAGAACTAACTAACTTCACCATGGAACAAAAAGAGAATATCATTGACAGAGACATAGAGCTGTCTGTGGTTCTTCCGGGCGAAGTGATCAAGTCTACTTCTGTGAATGGCAAGTATGTTGAAGAAAGTTTCTAAATTCTTCCTAGTTGTAGTTGTGGTAACTTTCCAGGCTAGAATGAAAAAGACATGAATAAACTCTCAGTGGTCGATAGGGAAATGTATATTTGTTGTGCTCCAGAGGAGCACACATATGGTTTTTCAAATATAATCTAGAACTGATTTGAAATTTATTTTTTTTACTCAAAACGAAAGCGTTTTTCTGCTGTTCATCCAAGCCTTGAGTACTGATTACAGTTCAGATACACAACACAGAGAGAGGTTTTTAATGCTCCAGAGAATTATGCCATCGTTGAGCTGGAGCTGTGGTGGCTCAAGTGGTTAAGCCGCTGAACTGGAGGCTGTGGAAGGTCAGTAGTTCAGCAGTACGAGACCCGAGTTGCCGCATGATGGAGTGAGCTCCCGTCTCTAGTTCCAGCTCCTGCCAACCTAGCAGTTTGAAAGCAAGACATTGCAAGTAGATAAATAGGTACCACTTCGGTGGGAAGGTAACAGTGTTCCGTGCGCCTTGGTGTTTAGTCATGCCGGCCACATGACTACGGAAACGTCTTCGGACAGCGCTGGCTCTTCGGCTTTGAAACGGAGATGAGCATCGCAACCCTAGAGTCGGACTCGACTGGCTTTCGAGCAAGGGAACCTTTACCTTTACCTTTACTGAGCTGGACTACAGGGCACAGCTCAGGAAAAAAATAGATTCTGGAGGCCGGGGGTGGGTGGGTGGCTGGGAGTCTAAATGGTACTGCTCTCTGACCAGACTGAGCTAAGGCAGAATTCCTTTATATACTCTCTGTACATCTTCCCCAGTCCATGTCACAGCAACTGGGACTGGGGGATAACTCAGGATGGGACTATTAATATCATGCGGGCAGAAGGAAGGCTTTGTCAAGACAATATAAAGAAGCTGTGCCTGCGCTTTTTAGCTCAGTCTGGTAATGGACTTTCCCTGAGCTTTGTCAGATGAGTTTATTGGTTGGGTTGCAGAGCTGAAAAGGCTTTCAATTTCCCCTGATGTGAATAACATTAGGCTAGGTTAGGAGATCACCAGAGACTTAAGGGGCCAACTTTTGGACAAACATAACCTTCATCTTACCTGGTTTCTGCTTCAATTCATTCTCCTTCTGCCACTTGACCCTTGCATGGACAAATTGGGCTAGGGCAGAGACTCATGGACCAATTTCATACAAGAGCTGTCGCACCTCCTTTTGCCCTGCTTCAATTGGTCAATTTCCCACTCGAAGCCACGCGGCCGCATTTTGACCTGCGGCTTCACCAAATTTCCCCCCGCAGTTTCATGATCCTCAAAAAACCGGATCACGAAACTGTGAGAAAAATCGGGCGAAGCTGCGGGTCAAAATGCACCCACATGGCTTCGAGGGGGAAATCGACCAATAGAAGCGGGGCAAAGGGAGGTGCGACCGCGGTGCAGCTCTTGTGTGAAATCGGTCTTACAGTCAGAGGCTTATTCAAAATAACTGTATAGCCAAGTGTCATCAGCATACTGTTGATCTCCCACTCCTAGGGTTGCCAGCTCCAGCTTCTGAAATATCTGGAGATTGGGGGGGGCGCAGTCTGGGGGGGCAGGTTGGAGGAGGTGAGGGACTTCAGTGGCATATAATGCCATACAGTCCACATTTCAAAGTGGCCACTTTCTTCAGGTGAACGGATCTGTCACCTGGAGATGAGTTGTAATGAGAGATCTCCAGCTACCACATGGAGGTTGGCAACCCTACCCACTCCAGAGTTGCAGACGATCTCATTAAGGAGCCTAACGTAGATATTAGACAACATTGGAGATAACACAAAATCTTGTGGCACCTCTAGGGTTACCACGATGAACCTGGCAACTGGTGGGAGGGTTGGGGGAAGGGAAAAGCAACGTTGGCCAATATTGCGAAGTCACTTCCTGAGAAAACACAAGAAGATACACAGGGTAGCTTTACCCAGAAGTGATGCTGTGACATAACCAATGTCATTTTTCTTTTTAAAAAATGCTCTTGCTGCTGCTCAGAGCAGTGGCAGGCAAACTAAGCTGCCCGTGGGAGATCTCCTGCTATAGTGGGAGCCCTGGCAGCCCTAGGCACCTCCCATGTCCTGTCCCAAAAGGTGATTCAACCCATCTCATTGCAGCCATTTGTGACTGGTTTGTGTAGTTACTTCTAGTGTCCAAGCTGCCATTTTGAGGCTTTGTTCCAGTTATTTTACCCAGACTTTCCTTTGCAGAAAAGGCTGTTTCAAGGAGTACCAAATTACTATCCAAAAAACAGTTTGGAAGTTTTTCAAGGGCTTTTCAAAAGGAAAAAAAACAGTGGAGAAACAATCATAGGTACACCTATGGTATGTTCTTTTTGAAGAGGTTTTGAACCAGATTTCCAGACTGCTTTTAGCTTGAGGGAGTTTACCAAGCAATAAGGTTTATATGTTGCGGTATTTTTTTATGTTATAAATGCTGATGACACCCCCCCCCCCAAATTTCCTCCTTAATACTTAAGTTTGTGAGGTAAAGAATGCAGACTGACATTAGGAAACATTATTGTATGCCTTCATAACAATGCTGCTCTGTATAATAAATTGTAATATGGTGTGAAAAAGGTGAACAGACCTTTCGCTAACTGTGGAATCTTCTGAATTTTAGATTAGGCAAAATGATCAATAAGAGTTATAATAATAGAGCAGTATCACTATGAATGATGAAAATGACATCAGTAATATCAGTTATAGAGAAATCATATGAAAGTGTGAACCTATTGAAATATACTGAATGTTTTTAGGTTATAAATAATTTAGGTAAGATAAAAGCTTTCAATTTTCAATTTTTGATGTTAAAAAACATTTTTTTAAAATACAGAAAGTTATGTTGTATGATTGAGTAATAAGGTATAGGTTGTGCTTATATCTAAAAGCAGTGATGGTCTGAAATTGAAATTTTAGGCCTTCAGAGAAGAAGATAAAAAAGAACATAAAATCTGATTTAGCACTTTGGCCTATCTTTAAGATGCCGATTCTTCCAAAAGAAGATTTTCTATTCTCCAAGAACCATTTGCCATTCCTTCAGTACCACAGCCATTAATAGACAGGCATATTTTTGAGAACAAGACATGACTTCAGTGTTTAAGAATTTCACCAGTCACATGGTGTGATTGAAAGTCACATTATAGCAGTCTTGCTAAGGATGTATGATAAAATTCCTTCAGAAAATCTTACCTATTTTGCCTTGCATTCCATGATGTAAAACCGGCAGGCTAAATATGTAATGAATAAATAGTTCTGCCTCAGCAGTGTGTAGCTAGTGACTCAATCACGTCAGCCCGTTTTGATATCCAGGTTCTATCCATAATCTACTGCGAACAGCATCCAACTAATTTTCCAAAATGTGTAAAATTTTCAAGCCAGCTAGAAAATAATAAGTCGTGTGTTTCTGATGCATCATGTTTATGCACAACCCTAGTAAATATGTATATACATGATTGGAAGGTTGCTAGACTGCAAGTGGCAGATTGTTTAGAACATAGTCTACTTAGCAATAGGTGCTGAAATCGAAAGATCTGCTTCACATATGAGATTTCTGTATGTCTTAGCTCTTATCAAGCATGAATTATAGACTGATAGTAATATTTATTTATTTGTTTGTTTGTTTGTTTAATTTATATCCCACCCTCCCTGCCAAGGCAGGCTCAGGGCGGCTTACGCATGATATTACTACTATGGTTAGCAGAATATTTATTTGATACATGCATTTGATTAAAAAAAATAAGTTGTGTGTTTTGAAACTAGCCTTTTAGGTTTAGAACATATTGAATAAAAACCTATGTGATGGAATCCTAAGTCCAAAGATCTTGAAACAAAGTGGAGCCTGTGCACTTAAGTCATTTAAGTTCAATGTGGTAAAGGCTTACAAGAAATGATGCAGGATTCACAGTGGTGATAGTGCTGGTTTGCTATTTTATAGTCTGTCTAGTGGAAACAAAGAGGCTGTGTGTATATTTTGCTAGTCTTCAACTGCATCTGGGTGGTCCCTGGTTTTCAGACACCAAAAATTAAATGTGTGTCCTAACATTTTTCTAAAGTTAAGCAAGCAAGCTGCAATCAGGCACTAAGTGTCTAATGAGACTTGTCAGCTTGTGGGTGTTTGTTTTTTGATGCAGCCATTTTATTTGGCATGCCCTCCTTTGTTTTCTGTATACCAATGTCCAGAAAAAGAGGCTGACTAGTAAATTACTGTAGTTTGTGCTGCAATATTTCAGGAAGACCAGTTTTGCTGTTTAGAATTGGCCGTTACAGAAGCAATTTTTATACATGAGGCCAAATAAGCTGTGAACCTCAAACTTTTAGGAATGCAACAAGGAAACCTGCTAGCCATCATGTGGCTACCTCACACAGCAAGTTGACCAAAAGTGATAGCTTGGGGGAGGCTCAGAGAAGGAAATATGTATAATTTTTAAGGCAATCCTTTTTATGCAACTTGGTAATCTTTTCTGTGACGTGTTTTGTTGAGTCTTGCATTCAACAAGACCCTTTTATAATTCGTAGAGATGTTGTGTAAGCTGCTCCAGTTAGGAGGTGGAAAGTTTATTTCATCACAATCTCTGTTATTCATTGTCAGGGCTGACCGAAGAGCAACTTAAATGCTTCAGAGTAAAGCTTCTGTGTTGAGTGTTACTGTACAGAAGATTATACTAAGTGCGAATTTTTTAAATAACTTTGGACGTTCTACAGCGTTTTATCTTATGCATGTGTTCAGGCATCTTTGTGTGACAGCATTACTTCTAGTCTATGCTTATATGTATGCTTTCTGTTTGTTCATTTTCATTATTTACTCAGATCTAACAATTTATTTCAAGAAAAAAAATACTGAACTTTAAAGCAGAAGACCTGTCTATGTCAGTGGTTCTCAGACTGTGGGTCAGGTCCCAAAAGCAGGTTATAATTCTCTTGCAGATGGACTACAAAGGCCAGAAGAAGGAAGAGAAACAGGGTGCACTAAGAGAGCAGGGTTTGG